GCTGGACGGTGTTTTTTGCCTTCAGAGCCACTCATACCAGATTGGTCAATGATTAGAGGCCAGACAAACTCAGCCTCCTGGTCCTCCAGGTTGGATTGAGGATGGCTCCTTATTTCATAAAACGGGCTCTTTGGAGTCCAGTGCCAAAACCCGCTGCTTTGCTGTAAGATTTTTGGACCAAAGGCTTTGGTTGAGAACCCTAATGGTTCTCCTGTCTAGGCCTGGGCAACCTGACAGTATTCTACCCACGCAATACGATGAACCCTTCATCAAACAGTTTCTTTATGTTCTAACCGTCTCAGAGGATAATAAAAGGCGCCCTGTCTGCTGCATCGAGCAGGGTGGATAGGGGTATGAATGCTACTGTTCAGGCCTTCCGGTCTTCTTATCCCCTTCTTGCGCTTCTTCATCCTTATCGTCCCTCTCCAACTTTACTTTTATCCCCCCATTTTCAACCCCCCAATTCTTGGCCCTCTCTCAGCTTGCATTAATAGTCGCTTGTCTTCTAGTTTCAAATCACACACAGTCGCAGGGCGTCGCTCCAATCCAGTTGACAGATCCACGTTTAACCAAGCGGACAACGTCAGTTCATCCGTTTCCCTTTGGAGTCCTCGATCCTCGTTAAGACTGGCATGCCACAACGTACGCACTTTGCTGCAGATTGGCCAACTGGCAGTACTTATCCGTACACTCGAGACACTGTCGATCGATATTTGCTGTTTATCGGAAACCGCCTGCAAGATTCGAGCTCCGTGGTTATCCTGCGATCCCCCACATGCGACACTGGCGGCGCATTCTCCTTGCGCCTGTCTGGCGATGATGCAGCTTCTAATGCCGGTCAAGCTGGCGCCGACATTGTTTTGGGTCCCCGGGCTGAAACTGCCCTGATCGATTGGGTCCCAGTAAACAGTAGGATGTGCGCTGTTAGATTAGCTGGTTCGTTCCGTGCTACGAAGTCGCGCGGGGACAAACGGTGCCTGTTTGTCATTGCGGCTTACGCCCCTACAAACTGTAGCACTGATTAGGTGAAAGATGATTTCTATCAGCAACTTCATGAACTCCTTTGTTACAGAAGAAGCACAGATACTGTGGTGTTGGCTGGCGATCTAAACGCCCAAGTCGGAAAATTGTTTTCTTATGAGCTTCATCTGGGCGGCCAACCTGGTGTAGGTTCCCATAATGATAACGATGAGTGGTTGCTATACCTCTGTGAAGCTGCTCGTCTCTCTCTTGCGAGCACTAACTTTCGACACAGCACCCGCAGAAGCGTGGCTTGGAGGCCATCAGTTTTGGACCAGCCATGGTCGCAAATCGATCATATCGCGATCAGTTACTGCTGGAAAGGCTGTGTCCAAAAATGTCGCTCGATTTCGAGCACGAGCGTGGACTCTGACCACGCACTTGTCTGCGCCGACCTCCGGGTGCGTTTCGGTGGACGTCAACAGCGTCTATGTGAACCTATTGACACCAGCCAGCTGGCGGCGCCAGGTTTTCTGAATGTGTATCAAAGTGCGCTGACATCTGGGCTGAGTAAGCGCCCACTAAACACCGTCGAAGATCACTGGTCGCATATTCTTCAAACGTTACTGTTAGCAGGCGTGTCTTCTTGTGGCAAAGCAAATTGCCACACCGGACATTGGGTCTCTACAAAGTCTCTGGAACTTATGGATGCTCGTCGACGTATTCCGACTGGAAACGAATACAATGACACTCACAAAAATCTCAGAGCAAAACTGCGTGCTAGCCTGAAGAGAGATCGCGAAACCTGGTGGTCTCACCGTGCATCGGAAATGGAAACAGCCGCTACCGTTGGTAATCCTCGTAAGCTATTTCGTCAGATAAGGCAGCAGGAGACCTGGTGTTAGCGAGACCATACGCGACGAAAGTGGGCAGTTGATCCACAGCCTGTCAAAACGCTCAGAGCGTTGGGTTGAACACTTTGCAACGCAGTTTAACTAGCCTGAGTTATCGCTTTCTTTTGTGGGCATTGAGTGCCCTTCTCCCTGGGCCGTCTCCTTGGATCAGCCCTCATGCGCAGAAGTCGAACGTGAGATCAGGCTGTTGAAATCGCATAATTCCGCAGGGGCAGATAAAATTCCCCCAGCCCTCTTCAGATTCGGGGACCTGCTCTAATAGATGATTTACACGGGTTGCTAGTGAAACTTTGGGAGCAGGAGACTGTCCCGACAGACTAGAACCGCTCTGTCATTGTTCCAATTTCCAAGGGAAACTGCCGTTCGGAATGCGGCAGTCATAGAGGGATCTGTCTGCTTTCGTTTGCCTCTAAATTGCTTGCCTCTGTCATTCTCCACAGATTGACTGGCACTCTTGAAAGCCAGATTCGTGAAGAGTAAGCCGAATTTTTCTAGTTCGGGGCTGCATTGACCACATCTTCACCTTGCGTCAAGTGTTGGAGCACCGCCATGCTTATTGGCCATCCATCTTTGTCGTGTTTCTCGACATAAAAGGTGCCTTCGACTCACTCGATCGATGTGCCCTTTGGGACTGTCTGCTGAAGAAAGGTGTGCCTGGTAAATATGTAAACATTATCAAAGCGCCGTAAGCGCATAGTTCGGGCAGAGTGAGGGTTTATGGTAAACTGTCGCCACCCTTCAGTATCACCAGCGGTGTGAGACAAGATTACCCGCTGTCACCTTTCCTCTTTAACTTCGCTTTGATGAAGTCACGGAAACAGCGTTCTGTGGACATGACCTAGAAGGTGTGGAGCTACTTCCTGGTGAGCGACTTCTTGATTTGGAGGATGCGGACGATATTGCCGTAATCTGTGACAGCTCCCAAACATGCCAAGCAGCACTGGACCGATTAGCACCGGCTGTCAATCGTTTTGGGCTATGCTTTGCTCCATCGATATGCGAAGTATTTCTCCAGGATTGGTAGGGAGCCAACCCTGCGCTGACGCTTTGTGGTGTTCTGCTAGAAGTCGTTCGGGAATTCAAGTACCTGGGCAGCTATATTAGCACCCGTGGGATTGAAGATGAGGTTACGAACCGTATAGCAAAAGCTCGAGGGGCTTTTGCCAATCTCCGCCACCTGTGGTGCAGACGCGACATTACTCTCTCCCTGAAGGGCAGTTTATAACGCAGCCGTCCGTTCAACTCTTATATGGTTGTGAAACCTGGCCCATCAGGTCGACAGACATAAAAAGACTGGTCACGTTCGATCATCGCTGCTTTCGATGCTTAGCTCATGTCTGGTGGGAACACCGCATGAGCAGTAAGCGTGTTCGGCGTCGCGTATTCGATGCAGCAAGAGCGAGTGAACCGCTCAGTACCATCATATCACGCACCAGGCTCCGATGGCTGGGCCACGTGTTACGCATGCCAGCACACCAACTTCCGCGACGTGCATTGTTTGCGCGTTGTGGGTGCGGTTGGAAGAGGAGGAGGGGAGGCCAAGCAATGACTTGGTCGAGGGAGATGAAAACCCTTACTTCGGAGTTGGCGTCGGTTGGTGCATCCCGACTGCTTGGATGTGGTCCTAAGGACGGTGAACACGTTAGGTTGGACACACTTGTTGTTATGGCTTGGAGCCGGCCCCAGTGGCGTTTGTGTTGTGAGTTCTTTTGTCCATCCCCCTCCTGCTTAGCATCCCCTTCCAATCAAGATCTCACTCGTTAGGCATAATCTCTCTTTTTACGGCATGATAGCCAGCTGTTAGGTCTCCGGAACGATATCCATCCGTTACTGGGGATTCAGCCGGCGTGCCACTGTTTGTTTTCCTTTTGTTGTCTTCTTTATTGCGGCACAATAGCTGAAGTGTTTTGCACCTGCAGCTAACGTGCGCAATGATGATGGTGATGATGTGAGTCGTGCCCAGACCGCACCCGAAGCATGAACCCTCGAACGACCCGCCGCGCACCCCTACAGCTAATGTCAGCTGGTTTTCCCAATGAGCTCGTCGGTTTCGACCTCATCGGCCTTTTACCGGACACCCCTCGAAGACATCGTTTCGTCTTAATCATGGTCGACTATTTTACAGTGGTGTGAGGCAGCTCTACTCCAGAACATGAACGCGTGGAGCGTGGCGAAGGCTTTCTTCAGTGAGTGGGTGGCAAGGTGAAGCGCACCTTACAAGCTACGTTCTGATCGCGGATCTAACTTCGAGAGCACCGTGATGAGCGAACTGTGTTACATATTTGGGATTCGGAAAACGCAGACAACCGCATACCACCCAGTAGGAAACGGATTGGTGGAACGCACAACCGTACACTGAAAGCACTATTCCAATCATACATAAATGAAGAACCAACTAGAGAATTGGACACTAAGCTACCAAAATGCGTATTAGATTAACGAGTCACTGTCCAGTCTTTTACAGGACACACCCCGCACTTCATGATGTCGAGACGCGAGCTACGATTAATATCGGAGATTTTACTGCCGACAGCCCATCACTAACCGATGACCGCATCTGAACACGTACTCAGGATGCAGGCCACTTTACTCCGAGCCTACCAGTTGGCCCAAACACATCTCCACAACTCCAAATGTCACCAGAAAGCATATTTCGATCACAAAGCCTTCAAGCCAAGTGGCGCAGTGTGGCTCAAAGCAGTGCAGACTCCGTCCAATGTGCCCACGAAGTTTCGTCGGAACTGGGAGGCCTGTATGTGGTTGATGACGTGCTGTCCGACTTGACCTATAGAATTATGCGAGCAGGGGTACCAAGTTCGTCGACCGTAGTACAGTTTAATAGGCTAAAGCCGTACAAGCGGAACACAAGCGCTGAGAACAGCGCCTTTTAAAAGTGGGGCCACGTAACTCTGCGCGCCATGTTTGACCTCGGGAACCTCGACGCCATTCCTGTCTTCGTGCGTTTGACTGCGGATGCGTGCTCCTTTGCTTGGTTGCTCGCAGCTATTCGGCTACTTTCCGGTGTCTACTTGCCAGTAGACTTGCTACGTTGTTTGTCGATATTAGTTCTTACTAGATGCTTGGGGATTAACTTCCAGCCGCCTACGCTCTCCCTTTGCCTTCTATTGCAGGTCCTTCGGTCTGTTGCGACCTACATCTGGTGACGGATACGGAAGAATCTATCTCCCAGAACCGGACGAATATTACGGGCTTATAGACGAGCGTGCGTATCATCTCGTTCTAATGGCTCTCGGAAGAAAAAATGCAGTAAGTTAGCATGTTTATTACCCTCAATACGTCGGCATTTGTTGTCTGCCATTCTGTAATTGATTGATTTCGTTAACTACGAAATAACTTATTACTTGCAATCCACCTCAGGATCTAATTGTTATTAGGATAGGGTTATGATCTTTGTCATGTCCATCATACGGAATGTCTGTGTAAAGTCGCAATTTTAGCCATTCAGTACCACTCAGAATACAGTTTTAAAGTTGCGAAAACAACATGCTTAACTGTCTTTAGTTCATTGGTTTGTAGAGAGCAACATGGTACACCCTTGTCGATTCTGATTCAGTGCAGGTTTGACACGACTGCCTGCGACGCGACATTCCTCTGGGGATCACCGTTGCAGCAGAACCCTGCCATACTCAGATGGCAGTCTAGCAGCCGCTTGAAACAATGATCTCCGATAGGCTGTTCCAGCGATTCACTACAATGGTTGATGGCGCAGCCTCTAGACGGACGTGAGGTATACTTCTCTTGTCGAGCTGTCCACCTTGAAGCGAAAGTGTTTTTGTACCTCACAATAAAGTTTTCTTAAGACCAGTTGGTTGTAGATAAAATCTCCACGGCGCTAGCGACAATTCATGAAAGTAAGTTCAACTTTCCGAGTCGAAGAGGGTAAGTAAGATCTCGAAGCCCTGTGACAGGTTTCAAGCCACGCCTCTGAACCCTTTCTAGTGAGTCGCATTCAGATTTCGGGAGGATAGGTAACTGAGAACCCATACTCTAGTATCGGGCGGACATGTGATGTTAATAAGGTCCTGAAAATTCCCTGAGTGATACAGAAGAACGACCTGCGTAAAGCAACCAGCTTACTGTTTTCGGCCGCGAACTCCTTCAGCTTGTCCTGTGATGTTCTGGGGTCATGTGACCCGACAACCTCCAGATTTTTCTCGTGGGTGACCTTGTTGCGGAGATAACCAATGTGGTATGTACGAACATATCCAGGTTACCAATTTGGTGAACAGCACATCTTTCGCGGTTTACGAGTGGTTACCATTTGATGGACCAATCGGGCAGCTGGTCTAGCGTCATTTGTAGTCTGGCAGCGTCCTCAAGGCTAGGTACTTCTAATCATAGCTTAGGATCATTATCATAAACTAAGCAGTTGACTTGAAGAGCTACAGTGAGGCTATTACTGTAGAGCTTAAATAGTTCCGGCCCAAGGACAGCCTGTGGAACACCGCTAGTAATAGACACAGAGCCGGATAGCGTCTCCTTCACATTTACCAGAAGAGTACGATCTCCCAAGAAGTCCGCAATCCAGTGACGCCAATTCCCTGGCGTTTAAGGAGAAGTCGTTTGGGTGGAACTCCGTCGAGCGCCTTGCTGAAGTCAATATAGACAACCTCTAGGTTTCTCCGGTCGTCTACTCTTTTGACCCATGTTTCTCTGGCTACAAGCAGGTTGGAGATGCATGAGCGTGTTCTGCAGAGTCCATACTGAGCGGGGAGATGGCGCACAGGCTTTTACACTCGGCATAGAGAGCACGCTTATGGGTCCGTTCCATGATCTTATATATTACAGTTGTCGCGCCGGTTCCCTCATCTGTATTTGGGCATTACGATCCATACTTTCCAGTCATGTGGTAAGTACCCATCCACAAGCGAAAACCGGAAAACTTGATGCATTGGATCGGCGATGTATCCTGCTACCATCTTGAGAAGTAACGGGTGAAGTTCATCAGGGCCGTGCGCGGAATTTAGGTTCAACTCGAGGATGAGTCTCTTGACTTTTTGGGCATTGATTTCGACTTGCTTGAGAAGAGGATAATGCCGTAGGAGATTGTCAGTGAATATCGACGGTTCCATGGAATTGATCGTTGAGTACTGGGAGGCTAGTAGATGAGTCTTCTCGTTATCTTCATAGAACACTGTCTTTCTCATGACAGAATAGAGCTGCTAGTGCAGCTGTGACATATTATTGCGACGAGAGAAAGTCGAAATACAGGTCTGCAAATTGTTTGTCCATTCCTTTGGTTGAAAGAAAGGAGAAAGGCATCAGCAGTACGCCGGTACGCAGTACCGATGCCTCACTGCCGCGCAACCACTACCGGTCGTACGTGAGCTAAGGATATTACGAGGGTCGCCCTGTCCCTACTCTGGCTCGAACCCGTGCCGTCAGATTACAAGAGAAGCTCGTGACCTTTATGCTACGGGCCGGTCCTTTGCCTGAAACATTGTACAGGATCTTCATGAACGATGGGACTTGGCAACCAGTTCCAGAGATGTATTTGGCGACGAGAAACATGGCCCATACGCGAAATTCCCAGTTCTAACTATGCCATCGGGTGATCGATGTATCCGTATTTCAGAACTTGCGCCTCAGATCTATGATTTAGAGCACTGTGATTCAATCAATCCTTAGTCTTCTGTATACCAAACCTTAAAGTTGCAGTTTATGACACCTGTTGGTAAAATAAACCACGAAGCGTTTGGCTCAAGTAATTGGCTAGTTGCTGCACCTTCTCTAATTGTTTCACCTCACCCTTTTTGCTGATATAGTAGGGCGGTACACTTTATCCTAACAGAGGGCACACCATGGCGACGTATGGCCTGACAGCATTTTCCTCCTGTCAAACTTGTAATGTCCGCTTCTGGGACCAAAACATGCGTTGACTGCTTCCATCCAACTGTGCCGGGAAGTTAGGAGACTAGTAATGCGTGACTGTCCACTCAGGAAGACATGTTGAACTATCGTGAGCACGTTGTATGATACTGCAAAATGAAGCACTTTGACTAATATTGATATTAGGCAAACCGGTCTGTAGTCCTCCGTCTTGCTTTTATTGTCACCTTTATCGAACAGTCGTACGATTGCTTGCTTCCACTCTCGTGGTACGGTCCCTTGTGCCAAAAAGGCATAAGACAATTCCGTCAATGCCGGCTTGACAATAGGTGCAAATCTTTTGAGAAGCAGTGGATGAAAACTATTCGATTCCGGCGGTTTAGAGCAATATTGATTAGTTAGCAAACTTATCACTTCCACCGAACATGCTGCAGTATCCATTTGTGCATCGACTGGCGTGTACTCAAGTACTGGAGTGGCTGTGTCAAACATTAACTCTAAATGAGAAGTAAGTGCCATAGTTCGATCTGCATTTGCGGTCAATAGTCCACCAAATGAATTTTCTTAATCATATGTTTTCTCAGTTGGCTTAAGTCTGCGTTTGATATAAGCAAAAGTTTTTTGGGATTCTTTCTTCCAAGTTGTTGATAAGCGTGTTTCCTAAAGTGAAATTTCTGTAGCTTCACTGAGTTGCAGCCATCACGCCGCTTCACAAGTTGCGTAATCTTCGGCACTGTATTTACCAGAAGCGCTTCCACAACTTCACACTTCGTCTCAACAGTACACCATATTCTTTTTTAGTCCATGGTGACATGCTACAAGATTTAGTTGGTGTAAAGCGAGCGCACCAATCTAATGGCTGGATAGTTTCAGCATCTCTCAACACCCCTCTGTACCATCCTTCTAGGGTAGCGACCAATCCATATGCTCAACAGGTGATCCCACCCAGTTTTCCAAATGTTACGACTGAGTAGTCCTAAGGATTCTAAAGACGGTAAATGCTGGACGACTGAAATGGTGAAATGATTACTGGACCATCCTGCTCTATGGTAGTGAGACTTGGCCCCCTCGGTCTGAAGATCTGAGGCGCGTTCAAGTCTTTGATCATCACTGTCTACGAAACTGCTGGTGTCGGGTGGCATCAGCGGGTTCGCAACGATGATGTGCGTAGTCTAATGCTTGGATATGATACCCAAGCTAGTTCCTTGGAGCAACAGATAGCACTGAATAAGTTGCGTTGGCCTAATCAGGTACTACGTATGCCCGGTCAGCACTTACCGAGGGGGACCTTATTTTCTCTTCCAGATGTAGGATGGTGCAACGCTCGAGGTGGACAAAAGTTTACTCGGCGATTAATCAATCAATACACGTTGACCGAGGGTGAGAAACACGTCAGCTAATGTGCCGTAATACAGCAAAATAATATACTTAAAAATACACTACAAAGAATTCAAAACGCAAGTATTCGTGGCAAATATTATATTATGCATTTCGTATGAGATCATAATTGGAAGGGGAGTCTAAAGGAGAGGGGTTGGACAAAGAAATTCACCACACAAGCGCCACTGGAGTCGGCTCCAAGCCATATCAACAAGTGTGTCCAACCAAATGTTTCCGTCCTCCTTGGTACCCCAGGCAGTCAGGATGCACCAATCGACGCTAACTTCGAAATGAAGGTTTTCACATCTCTCGATCAAGTCATCGCTTGGCCTCTCCTTCTCCTCTTCCAATCGCACCCACGGCGCACAACACAGCGCATGTCACGGAAATCGATGTGTTGGCATACGCAACACGTGGTTTAGCCATCGGAGTTTGGTGCGTGATATAATGGTACCGAATACATTCATTGCTCACGCGGTGCTTCTATCAGACATGAGCTAAACTGCGAAGGCCACGATGATCGAACATGACCAGTTTTTTTATGTCTGTCGATCTGATGGGCCAGATTTCACAACCGTGTAAGAGGGTTGGACGGACGATTGCCACTTTGACTTGGTAGGGGAAAATGAAGTCACTGATGACCAACTATGTTGCCGTCGGTCCATCTCGTTTTCCAGGCTGGAGTCCACATGACTCGCCTTGTGCTTGGCTCGAGACGTTACAGGACATGGCTCGCAGTCGGCATCAGTGGCGCGTTTGCTGCCGTCTCCTAGTCGGATCGCGTATTTAACGTGTGTTTGGTGCTATCTGCGGGGTAATGGTTGATTATGGCACTGAGCAGTGAAAACCACAAGGAAGCTATCTCATTGATGCCACCTTGCCTTTGCACGATAGCCAGCTATTTCTGATGGGATGTCGTTGATAAGGTGTAAACGCCTTGACCCTGAATGTTTGCTTAGGACATTAAGGTTTTCAGGTAAGTTCCCGTTCTCTCCTTCTTATTATTCTGTATTCCATAGGTCATCATGGTTGTATGG